CTTGACTTCATTTGTTCTTATTCAACATTGTTTTGAATGCCGTGGGTCCTTGGTATATGCTGGGGTTTGATTCCAGTACCTCCTGTTGATACCAAAATCCATGGATACTCAAGTCCCATTTTATACAATGGCATAGTAAAATGCCATTCTTTATTGATTAGGTGATCCCTCATTGTCTGAGTATGATGTTCTTCCAAGTTCTTGGAAAACACCTGTGCATGAGGGGTTTTTTTTTAATGTGTGGAGGTTGGTGCACAGCTGATCAACACATAGTCTTCACAAAGTGAGGGTCCCAACCAGAGTGAGTGAGTGAGTGAGTGAGTGAATGGGCCATCCTTTTTACAAAGAAGTGAACAACTCAAACAAGTTCTCAGGAGGCCTGAAGATCTGTGAAATGCTGGAAGGTTACAGCAGGATATGCCTACAAATCAGCACTGGTCTGAATTAAGATAGTACTGTGCTTGGAAATGATCTGATAGACAGGAGTGTTGCACATTTCTGCACCTTTCAGTGAGCTTGCAATGCTTAACAGTACATGATGCTAGACTTTATTATTCACAGTATAGTTGAGTTAGAAATCCATGCAAATGCCTTAATGTCTTTACCATAGTTTGAAAGGGCTGATGTCTCCCACTGTGATTGTATTTTCATTCGATCTGCAAAAGAAGAGATACTGTACATATACATGCAATAATGAAGAAAGAGGAAGAGGGGAGAAGAATGATCAATCCCAGTAACACTTTTAAAAGTACTAACACGGCATCATTAAATTTATTGGCAATAGTGATTATTATTGATTATGATTATAAGTTTTCTTGTTATTGAATATGTTAATATAATACCTTACCATTATTATTATTATTATTATTATTATTATTATTATTATTATTATTATTATTATTATTATTATTTCTATCCCACCTTTCTCCCATTGCAGACTCAAGACTGCTTACAATAAATTGATACAATCCAATACCTCTAAATGCATGTGAAAATTTAAAACTATTATCACTTTTCAGCCTTTTGACTAAGAGGAAGTGTTGTAAAAAATTAAAACAATTTTTAAATTAAATATTTTTGTCATAGATACAAGTTAAAATACATTTAAGGTACAATAAAAATAATTATACAATTAAAATTACATTAAAACTAAGTATCCTACCCAACTCTCATCCACAACCTCCTTGGCAGTGTGCTTGTCTTAACTTGCTTGTGAAAGGCTAGTAGGGATGGGGCCACCCTGGTCTCTTTTGGGAGGAAGTTCCAAAGTTTGGAGAAGCCACCAAAAAGGCCCTCTCCCTTGTTCACACCAAACATGTTTGAGCAGATGATTTATTTATTTGTCGTGTCAGGGCAACCAGTCAATTGTATTACATTTCTAACAGAATGAGCAGGTGATGGGACAGAGAGAAGGCCCTCCGAAGTCGATTCTAAATGTCTACCAGATTCATAGAAAGAAATACAGTCTTTCAAATAACCTGAACACAAGCCACATAAAGAGTATTTTATCAAGGTGGAACTATGCATGCTATTTGAATTTCTTAAGTAGAGACATTTTTTTTACAACCAGAGGTTTACAGAACAGGAGCAACATTGCTTGGTGTCAGCAGTCAACATGGATAATTGTTATAATCCATGGATGAGCAGACGATCGTTAAGGTTGTCAGCTTTCTGAAGCCATTACAACTTTCTACTATATTCAGCTTGTTTACTGGACTTGTTTACTGGGCTGAATGTGCAGAATGATGAAACATAGTGCATTTGAAAACATAGAATAGAGCCCCTCCATATATTTTGGGCTGCAATGCAAAACAGCCCTAGATATAGGGAAAATTGTTTTAAATTTCTATTGTATATATCATTCGCATGAATTTTACCTGCATTGTCTGAAAAGTCATACTACTGGCAGCTTTCTGGAAACCAGAGAAGTGGATGGACTGAGGATTCAGCTGGACCCACTTAGATATGACTGGATTTATGGACTTAATTATTTCCATGTCTTAGGCAGAAACAACAGAATTGGCAAGGCGATCAGCTATGTCTACAAGACTTCCCAGGGAACCCTTTAAATTTGGCAGACTCCAGAGGCAGGCTATATCAGTATGTTGAAAATAATGTTGAAAAATATTTGGTTTCATTGGTTGGCCTCTTTTGGAGATTTGTTTTGTTGGATTCATTCAGCTTTTCACAGTGCAATGTTTTTGACAATGTTCTGTGTCTTATTGTTAGTTGCAATGAGAGGTTGACTCAGTGAGATCTACCTGATCAGTGAGTCTACTGTAATTGGGACTACCAACAGGATTCAGTCCCATAGTTTTCATCCCATTTTTAAAAGGCAAACTTACCATAAGATGAAAATGGTTCTCCACTTGCAGGAAATATTTTTCCATCTGATATTTGATCTTTAAATAAGAGACAATATAGAATAGAAAGAAGTCAATATTATTAAACATACAAACAAGATTTGCTAATACAATGTCTGAGAAGGGGTTCTTTTACTTAGGAATAATAATAATAATAATAATAATAATAATAATAATAATAATAATAATAATAATTGTTATACCCTGCCACCATCTCCCCAAGGGGACTCAGGGTGGCTTACAAGGGGACAAGCCCAAATACAGAAAAAACCAACCACAAAAAAAGCAATCAAATAAAAACATAACACAGTAACAACATCATCATAAAACAGTCTTATGGCTGGAATAAAGTTGACACTGAGTTTGGGTACGAATAAGTGCAGAGCCAATGGAAAGTGCAAGATTCAAATAACTGTGGGATAGGAATATCCTTAGTGTCATAATAAGCCAAATAGGAGGATTTCAGCCATAGAGGTATATTTCTTTTTTTAAAATTATTCCATTTTACAAACTAGTCTACAAATAAAGTATTATTATTATTATTATTATTATTATTAGTCAAAAGCATTTCACATTTCAAACTGACTGATCAGTTGAGCTATTTGTTCATTACAGATATCTCTATCTACTTTTTATAGTGTTTAAAAAATATTTACTTGTATTTCCAAAACATTAGTTTTTTTCAAGCTTGTTGAATCGTATGTTTAATATCTGCATGGCAGTTTGGATTAAACATGCACTTGGGACTTAACCCTAATATACAATATGAACATAAGGCAAAGTGAATTGAAAATTCACTCTCAGGCAATTCTTATAACTGGTAGAACAATGACCATCTCTCTGACACATTTCCTTGGCAATGAAGCAGTCATTTACATCTTAACAGGCCAGTGGGTGCTGTTTTTTGTGGATTTATCTCCTGTGAAAATTTTGGCATAGATGAGAAGGCTCTGGCTTTCCTGAAGATATTTGATAACAAAAAAGTCTGGAAAAAACCTTTCTTCCCAGCCAAAATATACTTCCTTCCTGCTATAATCTTTCTCTATCCCGGCAATAAACAATATCTCACAAATATTCTTGAGATAAGTGGTGTACAATTTAATCCTGGACGTTTTAATGTTAGTGGAGAAGTAATAATGGCAGGTTTTAGTTTGCTGTTCATCAGAACCATCCAAGGTGCTGGATTTATTTGGGGATGAGGGCACATCTCCTTTGCTTTCACAGATCCTTGAGAATTAAGACTAAAACTTAGATTAAATTCATCATCCCATTTACATGGAATCTACCACAGATCAAGGAAGACTGCAAAAAGTTACAAGGTGGAGCATAGGACCTTTCCTCCAATTTCACATTTTCTACCATTCTGCACAGCTATCCATTTGCAGAAGCTGCCCCCCCCCCCCAGCACACAGTGGGTATGTGGAAGCAAAATAATTTTAATTATTATAATTATTTTGCAGGAGAGATTCATCCAGATCTCCTGGGATCTAATAAAACTTTCTAGCCTTCCACAGTTGCCTACCTCTAATTTATGATTTTAAGTTTTTGCATCCCAAGACTGATTCCACTTTACTCAGGTTATGTTTCTAATAGGAGGATCCCTTGGACTTTAAGGTAGCCAATAAACTTATTTCTTATTTCTAAACTTATTTCTTAACATCCTTGAGAAATATTGGAAAAAATACACGAACATTCCCAAAAAATTAAACTTCAACTTAAGACCAGAATACTACTTACTAAACCTGACAGATTATGAGTTAGACAAAAATAAAGATAAAATATACTTTTATAACTGCTGCAGCAAGAACCCTCCTAGCACAGAGATGGCGTTCTAAATAAATCCCTCCAATCGATATATGGATTACCAAGCTAAGGGACTACATGGGCATGGACTCTCTAACAATTTTGCTCCAGGACCAGATGGAGAGACACAAGACAGATTGATCACTGCTGAAACAATACCTTCAGGAACAGAAATTTAGCAATTTTGAATAAACAGAATAGCATCAATAAGAAGACTGACATTATTAAATAAGAGGAAAAAGTAAGAAAAAGAGAACAAAATAGGTGAAGCCAGAAAATATTAAGAAGAAGAGAAGGAGGAGGAGGAGGAGGAGGAGGAGGAGGAGGAGGAGGAGGGGGGGAATGGGAAAACAAAAATAATCTCCCTGTGGAATGGACCGGAAGATAAAACCCCCATCCCCAAACCCCTCCACCCCCACCCCCAATATCATACCCCCTTTCTTCTTCCTTCTTTCTTTCTTTCTTTCTTTCTTTCTTTCTTTCTTTCTTTCTTTTCTCCCTTCTTTCCCCCCTTTTCCCACCCTTTTCTTTCCTCAACCCATTCAATCCCAAATCTTTTTAATGTATGGATATAAATTCTTTTGCAATAAAGATGATTTTTTTAAAAAGTTCAGATATGATGACCCTGAAAAAAATCATGATCTCCTCCTATGAATAATTGAATATGGCTATTTCTGAAGGAACAAATCCCTTAGAATTCAAGGTCAAGGGTAAGTCTTCAGAAGAGCTATGAAATGTTCATGAGCACATAGTTTCCAAAATAGTTTTTCTTTTGTCACAATGCCATCATTACCTTCTATTATTTTGTTTCTTAGGAAAAAAGCCAACTCTTACCTTCATGATTGGAGCATTCCTCAGCCTGGAATGTTTTGATGCTGCACTTATCCTCTGTACACATGCACTCCTTAAATTCTGGGAACTGGTCAACCAAAAATTGGATGACTATATTACAACGAGTTGACTCTTTCACTGTGCAGTTGTTCCCTGAATTTTAAAAAAAATTCTATGAGTTATCATCCTAATCAGAAAGCAGAAAGAATGCAACCATAGAAAAATGATCCTCATCTATTCAGAAAGTGCATTTAATCAGGCCATAGGACTGATTGCATATGTTTCTTTTGATGCATCTGATGAAGGAAACTCTCACCCAAGTTTGATGGGAAAATATTTTTCCAGTTCTCAAAATGAGGCAGGGGATTTTCAATTGTAGGCTCAAACGAAAAAGAAGAAAGACCCAAATACAAACTCCTTTAGCCCAAAGCTCTTATAACTTTAGATTTCTCAGCCTTTTAAAATAGGAAAGCCCTTATAAATATTGATATCCTAATTCCATTGTTATGAGGAACCCTAAGGAACCAGACTAAATCTCATCCTGAGATATGAAATCCCCCCAGCCTTATCCAATCCATGGAAATTGATTTCCCTGGAAACTAGCTATAGTCCAGTCTAACACAATCTATGTGTGGTTTTCTAGGGCATTTTGCAAAGCTACAATCCCACTGAAACAATCCAGTTCTTGAACTGAATCCAGCTTTTGTCACACCTAGAATAATTGATGTATTTGTCATTTTTTTTTAAAATTTGGTGCCTCTAAATTGTTTTCAGGGCCTAGGAGTGAATGTCTTTCCCAGGGCCTCACAGTGGGTTTTCACGAATATCCACAGATTTAAGTTTGGTACTCAGAGTTGTAGCCCAACACACAAGCCACTCCACCACACTGGTTCTTCACATGTAAAACATAGCTTTAGGAAATATATTTGCTTAATTTAGGAATGATGAACTTGGATCCCACTGAGAACAATAGATGTCTTCCAAGCATGACTAAGTCTGGATCTAGCTCCTTCGATTTAGAAAAGTACAACTCTTGTTCTGACAGAGAGGACAAACATATGCACTATGATTTTTTCCTCTCAATTGAACATGTTCTTTAATTGAACAAGTGTTTGCTTATAGTAGCAGCTGACAGGTTCCATATGTCAATAGATTGGGTGAATCTGGTCTGGGATTTGGTCCAAATTTTACTGAGTGGTGAACCTTACCACTCAAACAGTCCAGTAACTTGGAAAGGTCAGAAAGTGACTATTAGGTTTAAAGATAGAGATGAGGTCATGTTGGAGGGAATAGAAAAGTTGTGAGATGTTTTCAGGTTAAACACAGACAAAATTGCTTGCTCTTCATCGGTGAGTTTATACTACCGTATAACCTTTTATTGTTAAATTGATGCCATTGCATGTTTTTGCAAAATTCTACATAAAATTAATATAATTTTTGTTTTGTTTCTGACAGAAACCTGTGCTTTAGGGGCTTTTCCAGACAGGCCCTATGTCCCAGGATCTGATCCTCGGGTTTCTGCTTTAAACTGGATTATATGAGTCTGCACTGCCAGATAATCTGGGACAAGCAGAAAACCTGGGATCAGATCCTGGGATATAGGGCCTGTCTGGAAGGGCCATAGGTCAAGTTTCCTGGCACTCTGTCATTAAATAAATGATCAAGCTCAATCTACCTTTAGAGTCCATTAAAATAATTTAAATGATTAAAAATAAACCCTTCAATGGCCCCTTTAAAGTTCAAACTGAAACCCAGAAGGGATTACACAAAAAGAGAGAAGTAGATGCTGGTGTGGAAGCCATCAGTCACTGTGGTTTACTCATCAGCTTCCCACTACTCATGAATGAATCTAATTATAATCAAATTGATTAACAGCCAAGATAATTGTTTCCCAGTAGCTGATATAAAGAACAGGACATTTTGTTGTAGAACTTTAAAATGTACCTGCTCATCAAGATAAAAAAGGCACAATGGTTTTTGAAGGGCCTGGTACTTACTTTTTAAATATATATATAAAAAAGAAGTAACAGGTTACATATTTAGTCTTATGTAACCTCTGCAGGTTTTTCAGAGATTGGGAAGGGGCTGGTTGGAACAGGGTGGAAGGTACTCAGAATTCGATTAACTAGATAAGAAGACTTTTGTGTTCTCTATGCCTGATGTGCTAAGTGGTACATGTTCATTTTACGAGTGTACTATGAGATGTATTCACAGTGTTGATTCAGTTGCTCAGTTAAATTACCAGAAATTAATCTATGCTACAGCCAGATATTTTAAAAACATAATTGCTACCTTTACTGCTGATTAGAAGAATAGTTGTCAAAGATTCACACAAAGGGAAAGTATCTGATTTTTTAAAAAAAGTCTGAGCTATTTAAAATGTTTAGGGATATAATATTGCATTACCTTAAGACTGCATATGTACCTTTGACTAAGAGCAAATATTTGACTTAGATCATGAGTTATATAATATGTCCCAAGAAGGTCTGGTTTGGTTTCATAATAGTTAATAACACTGTTATTGTGACATAGAGTTAACGTGCACTTACAAAGAAATATTTACAATAAATTTAGTGAGAAGTATGAAGAGCTACTTAGATAAGATATAGTTTTTCCCACCTTGGACTTTTCACAGATATATAGAGCTCCCTTGCTTAGTTTTCACTATACCTCACAACCTCTGAGGATGCCTGCCATAGATGTGGGTGAAATGTCAGGAGAGAATGCTTCTGGAACATGGCCATGCAGCCCAGAAAACTCACAGCAACCCACAAAATTATGCACAAACCAGTGTTTGTGCATTATTTTGCACAACTGTATATAGAGGACTTAATTCTGTTCTTAGTACTGACTAAATTCCATTTATTCAATGGGATTTAGGTACATTCTGACTCACCATTCAACAATGGATTGAATGGATGCACTCTACTTGGAGCTAACCATAACCAACAGAATGCCAGCCCTGCAAATCTGTAAGTGCATCAAAATATATACATACATACTGAGAAGCAGATCAGGCACAGAAAGGGCTGCCTTTGTTATCAGAGTGCCACACGTAGCCTTGCCATAGTTACCTGAAATGAAACAAGCTTCTTCAAGTAAATTCCAGGTACTTCCACATCCATCCTCTGCTGTCATACATTTCTCTCTCACATGTTGACACTTAGTGATTTGGGTCTCCAAAGTGGATGCAGTCATGGAATCTAGTATCAGTGCTATCAAACAGAAAAGATCCATCATTTAGGTGAAATGTACTGTTATATGAAAGCTGACATGATATAATGATTTGAGTGATGGCAATCAGGGTTCAAATACATACTTGGCCACAGAAACCCACTGGATGACCTTGGGCAAGCCACACTCTTTCAGCCTCAGACAAAGGAAAGGAGAAATTATGCCAACCCCCCCCCCCCCCGCGCAAAATAGGGTTATAGTACAGTCTCACTAAATCAAAAAATATCAGAGGGTACTGACTTAGGATGGATTGTTGTTCCCTCATTTCTCTCTGAAAAATCATACCCAGTTATATTTTTTCCTGTTCACGTCAGTATATTTTCAATTTTAATTTATTACATTTGGCCCAGCCATTTTAAAACTGTTTATATGTCACTATTGATAGTTGTTTTGTTATGTGATTTATATGATTTGTATTTTATTGATTGTTTATTAATGTTGTGTTATTGATGTTGTTTGATGTATTTTGGGCTTGGCCTCAGGTAAGCCGCATCGAGTCCCATGGGGAGATGGTAGCGGGGTAAAAATAAAGTATTATCATTATCATTATYATTATYATTATYATTATTATTATTATTATTATTATTAAATTCCAGTGCAATTGGGTGACAGAAAGGGAAATTTGGGAAATTTTCTGAAAATCAGATCGGAGCTATATCCATGTATGGAAACCTATGATACTGGAAGACTAATCAAAGATCTTGCAGGATGGCACTTCATTTATTCTGTTCAACAACTTCTCCCAATTTGTTTTCTCTAGATGTGCTAGGTTACAATTCTYACTATCCCCAGTCAGCAATTCAATTGAAGTTTCTAACTAGAAATCATAGTCTTTGATATAAGATCACAAATACCAGTATTATAGGTTTTTAAATTATTGTGTGTTATTGTCTACCTGTGAGTTATATTAATTGTATTGTTTATTTTTGTTTATTGCTTGTTGTTTTATTATTGCTTGTTGTTTTTTTTTTATGTGTTGTTGGGCTTGGCCTCATGTAAGCTGCCCCGAATCCCTTGGGGAGATGGTGGCAGGGTATAAATAAAGATTATTATTATTATTATTATTATTATTATTATTATTATTAAATCATTATCCATGCTGGCTTAAGTTGTTGTGAGTTATATTTTGAACATCCATGGATAAATATGCATGTGATGRCATGCCCAAGCATTTGGGAAAACTATATTGTCTGGCTTTACTCAGGGGCTATCTGATATCTTCTGTTAAGATTAAGACCTTTTAACACAGAGGCACTTTAGGCAAGGTGAAAAGATAACCAAATGAGTTTACTTAAAACAGGATGAATAAACGATTAACTCCATTTGGGACTATCATAAGATAACTTAAAACAATACATTACAAAATGAGATTTTGCTGGTTGTAGTAATCTCTCTGGAAACTTCTGACTCTGATGCAAAGTGATGGATTAAAACTTGTTGCTTTTAAATTGTCTTAATCTTCTTTCCTGTGAAACTTAGGCTGGCCAAAGACTTCTGTTGTCCTTTGGACTGTTGGTATAATAATACTGCTAAATGCAGGTACTAAGAATGCCTGTTTTTGGATTGCTTGGCCTAGGATCACCAGACAACGGCCCAAGCCTCTACTGACTATAGAGAAAGGAAGGGGTCCAGCAAGAAGGCTCTATACAAGGAAATGGAATAGACCAACTAAGACTGGACTGTGGGAGGATTTTAAGCTGCATCCAAAAGCTAATACAAAGGAAGGTCTCTACATGATTGGGAAGGCATATAAACATGGGGAACTAAAGAAGAGG